TAATTTTCTGAGATTGTGGATTTGGGGTTTTCATGAGCTGTAAGCCATAATCATCACAGTTATGACACATCACGGCTTGAACTATCTTGCTTTGCATGTAATGAGTCTATCTCATATATTAGGTTCACCTTTTAAGTTGCATTACTGAAATAAATGAACTTTTGCACGATATTCTAATTTTTCGAGTTTCACCTGTAGACTATCCTCATCTTGTAGATGCCAAAAGGGTGAAGAAATGCCAAAACTGAATGCCAAAAAACGAGTCTGACAAGGTTTTTTTGGCTTTCTCTGTCCACAAACAAATATTTGTAAAATGAAAATAGCAACCCATGTACTTAAGGTCTTGTGGAAAAAGAAAGCATGGCATTGAGACTAAAGCATCATCATTTATATTTGTTATACTATAATCCAAATAAAAGAGATAAAACAATGTGCTTTTCTCCAGATTCGAAATGCAAAAGCTTTAACGGCATAGCTGAAACAAGTTATTTCAACATGCTGAATTCACACGGTATGTAAACTCAAGATTCAAGTTCCTGTAGTGGTCTAGTTCATCTATTACTAAAACATAAGGGCGGGGGAGGGGGGAATCCACAAACCCTACTTAAAAGGAAAGCAAACGGAACATTATGATTGAACTAGGCTTGGATGTCCCTGCGAAATCTGACAGCGGATCTAACCCAGGTTTAACACACTGAACTAAGAGACCACTCATTAGTCATACATGTAAGTTTTCAAAACAAAATTTCTTTAGTGATATCCCGGCTTCCTAAATTCACGCTGAACGGTGCCGACTTCACATTTTTTTTTCACTGTTAAGCCACTGTCTGGGTCCGGTCCAGCTGGCAGCTCCACTCACTGTGGAACTCGGCGTCCGCAGTGCCCCTCACAATGTCGCGGTGGTCATCAGCCCCCCGCTGTACCCGCACCAGGATATATTTGAAAGTGCCGTCGGGGTCCAGCTCCACTTCGGGCACCGAGCTCAGTTGCCCTCTGGCCGCCATTACCCAGGCTCGCGGAGGGGAATAGAACGCAAGGCGAAGCGCAGAAAGCGAAAGCACCGACGTGGTTTCGGCGTCGCGCCGAGCCTCTCCAAGGGAAGAAGGGGCCTCGATCGCCAGCCGCAAGCGCATATTGGTTGGTACTGGTTGTGGGCGAGCTGTGATTGGCCGCACGAATGCGCGAAAGGGACGGCACTTTTCCAAAAGGGAAGAAAGCTGCTTTAAGCTAGAATCATCCACACACAAGCACAACCCTTCCCTCCCTCCCCCAGCCCGCGAAGCCCACAATTTCAGGGTAGATAACGGATATTCTTCAATCTCGACCGGTGGAACAAAAGGTGCTTAATATGGGGTACTAACCGTATCTATTTTAAACTGAATTTAAAGGAACAGAACAAGATGGCATGTTTGCTCAACAGCCCATTAATTAATCCAAGTTGCAGGCCAAATCCAAATTACTTTGGATTAACCGATTTAACTAGTACACACATTACATACTGGCTGTATAACACATTGTGATATGTTGTAGGAGAGCATCTTAGTCTACAGAAGCCCTGGATCAGTTTGGCAATACCTTGTAATGCTAACAAAATTGGTTAGAAGGCAGAAGCATTCATCAGATAGTAAATTACTCCAAATTAGGTAAAAACAATTTTTCTTTAAGTACAGGTGGTCCTTGACTTATGATCACAATTGAGCCCTAAATTTCTGTTGCTAAGTGAGACATTTGTTGAGTTTTGTCCCATTTTATGACCTTTCTGGCCCCAGTCATTAAGTGAATTACTGCAATTGTTAAATTAGTAATGTTAAGTGACTTTGCTTTTCAGAAGATCGCAAAAGAGAATCACATGACCCTGGGACATTGCAACCATCATAAATATGAGTCAGTTGCCAAGCGTCTCAATTTTGATCATAAGACCATGGGGATTCTACAATGGTTGTAAATGTGAAAAATGATCATAAGTTACTTTTTTCAGTGCCATTGTAAGTTTGAACAGTCACTAGATGAACTGTTGTAAGTCGAGGGCTACCTGTACTGACACACAAAGCAATTTCCCACTCACAACAGGGACATTTATAAGGACTTTCTGATAATTGGTATAAAAGACTTTCTGATAAGTGGTTTTTGATAATGAAAGAAAACATTTGGGAAGCACTCGCCTACACCATTCTAAGATATATATCGCTTCCTGTAACCTCAGGATTTGGATAGCTTCTAAAACTAACTCCATGATTTCTTTTTTCCATCCTTTATGCAGCTGCAGGCTATGGTGTCTATTATCTGACCATTCACTAAGTTTCATATCTTTCTCCCATTTCCCAAGGTCATTCCCACATACCATTCCCACATACCATTCCCACATACCATTACAATGCATTTGCAATGACTGACAGGAAAGGATGTTTGGAAATATACAGAAATGAAACTTTGAAACAAAAATTTTGTCTCCAACTGCCAGGTGTATAAGATCTGAAGTAGCCTAAATTACTATTACTACTTGGAGTTAACGGTTGTTTTTTTTATTAAGCTACTTCTGGATCTCTGCATTAAAGGCTAGTCACATAATGTGTAGTAGTTGGCCACTGGAAGCTGTGGAAAAGGAGTGGAGAATTCCTATTTGTATAAAAAGTTTTGGACAGCCCTTTTATGTCTCTATTTTATTGCACTAATACTCCCAGGTTTATGTGAAGAGAGTTTTGATATTCCTGGCATTAGAAAGGACTGGGCAAACCATCCATTTATAGATAAGTCTTTTTTAATGTACTGTTCTGAATTGCTATCTTTGTTGATTAGACCCAAGAGATCTGTTCTTTGCTCAACAGGATATCTAAAAGAACTTTCATTCAAAGGAAAGGAAATACTAATGGATCATAAGCTGGAAGACTGTTCTCTTAATTGCTTATTCACTGAGGGCTATTTGGAGATAAAGTTCTGCAGCTGCAATTTCCCCAGCGATGATTCAGTGGGTATGCATGCATGCATACAGCATACCGTACTTCAAAATTGTGATGAAACAAAATATTGTTGGGCTTTTTGAAATAATTATATTTTCTTTCATGATATAAAGTAATATGATTTTATGACAAAAACGCTGTAAACTTACTCTTTTGATTACTTGTCAAGATTATAAAGTCTCATTTTGGAGATAGGGTTGAATAATAGATAGGGCTGAATGGCATTTTGTAGTAAAAAGGCAAGGGGTTAGTCTTACTTTGGTCTTATTATCTGATAGAGAATATTATTTGTGGGAATAATTAAGATTGCCATTTTTAAATGAAAAAGTTAAATATTTTGTTGCAAGTCCACTATAGCTCTGTTAAAATACATTCCCATATATATCCTTTAAAATACTAAAAATGCGAATCCTGGGCATCATATTAACCAAGTTAGAAAGAAAAACGAACACCAGGATATAATAAACCAGACTGTTTAATGTAAACAAGCCTGTGGTTAAAAAGAGTCACTAAGCTTTCGTCGGCCAAACTGCCGACGTCGTCAGAGTTGGAGTAAAAGGAGATCTGGGAGCCAGCTCATATAACCTCCTGCCTCTGCGCCCGGCTCCTTGAGCGTGTCATCGCTCGTTGATTGTACTCATCCGTATGGCGCTGAGTTGTTCCGCATCTGGCAACCTGTCTTTGGCCCCGCTGATTGTTTTACGATCCTCAAGCGCTCTTCTGGCGTGTGTGCAAGCGCCGCCTCACCTGTAGAGCTATTGCCCCAATCGTGCAAAGAGCTGTCCCATTGTTTCGATCTCTGGTTTCTCTCCCCTTTAACCGGGTCGTTGTCCTCTCTAGAGATCGTACCTGTCTCATCGGTCATTCTGCCGCCCAAATCTTGCAAAGGATGGGCTAAGTGTCTTCTCAGTAGACCATAGCACTGTCTTTCCCACCCTCTGAGGGTATGATAGGCCGGCAAAAGATCTATATGCCGGTTGATGGAATTTTCATCAGAGAGCCAGGCTTCTTTGAGTAAACGGCCACCCTTGGTGGTCTCACGAGCTATAACCTCTGCATTGGCCAGATCGAACGTGTGGCCAAAGCTGGACATGTGGGCCCACACTTGTGAGCGTTGCTCTTGCCTTCTAATTGCCAGCTCATGTTCATGGACCCTAGTCCTCAGCCTTTTAGTTGTTTCTCCAACGTAATTGCTCGCACAGTCCTTGCAATTGATCAAAACAATGGGACAGCTCTTTGCACGATTGGGGCGATAGTTCTACAGGTGAGGCGGCCACAACTCTCATGGGAGGAGATAATGGACCAACGGCGCGCCACGGCTGTAAGCCAGGGACGGATGCGCAGAGGCGATCTGGAAGGAGGGGGAGGGAGGGGGAAGACGGAGAGCAGAAATGCCAGAACAGCCGCTCTTTGCAGTACTGGGGTGGGAGAGTTACAGGCGGGATGACAACGGCCTTGGGCATGGGGAAGGATAATAGCCCGACAGTGGGCCTGAATCGCAGCGTGAGATACAACACTCAAGATCCCCCCAGAATGGGAGGGGAGGGAGACCAGGTGCAGGGATGTGTTGACAGCCGCCCTCCAGGCGCTTGTACACATGCCAGAAGAGCGCTTGAGGATCGTAAAACAATCATCGGGGCCAAGGACAGGTTGCCAGATGCGGAACAACTCAGCGTCGTACGGATGAATACAATCACCGGGCCAATGACGTGCTCAAGGAGCCGGGCGCAGAGGCAGGAGGTTATATGAGCTGGCTCCCAGATCTCCTTTTACTCCAACTCTGACGATGTTGGCAGTTTGGCCGACGAAAGCTTAGTGGCTCTTTTTAATCACAGGCTTGTTTAAATTAAACAGTCTGGTTTATTATATCCTGGTGTTCATTTTTCTTTCTAACTTGGTTAATTCCCATATATCTACGGCTAAATTTTAATAGCAGTCACAGATAATCTAATATACTGTAGTTGAAAGTGTTTGATCGAGGTTAAAAGATTTTTTTTTTTGCAACGTTTTATAGATTTGCTTATGGATGAGGAAAGAGATATGGGATGAAAAGGTATCAGTTTAACCTTATAGGGGGTGAAGAGTTAAATAACATATTGAATAATAGACATTATATCTTTCTATATATTAGTATATATAACCATAAGTATAATAAGATTAATTAAACATGCAGTGTCTTTTGTTGGTGTGAGGGTATTTGACGTTTCACCCTCTGAAATCTGAAATGGAACCAGAGATAAGGTTTCACCTAGTAAGTGACTGTTGTGACATCACCGGGGTTTGAGGAGTAGCTTCCAGTTGGGTGACTTTACAGATTCCATTAGCAATATCCAAATCAAGAGGAAGAAGACTAAAAGGCTCCAAGGGAGGTGGTAACTGACCATCATGTAGCCCCGGTCTAAGATTCAAAACATGTTGTTTAGTATCTGTTCTGGAATAGAGTGTGCTTCCTCCTCCTTAGTTAACAAGGTCTGGCAGTCTCCAGCAGATTCTCCATTCATCTTATAAGAGCAGGAACAAATATTTTTGGGTGGGTGATTTCCAATCATTCCATTATCCACTGAAGAGTGGTGATGGGTGTCAATATTTCAAGACACAAGATCAGTAAATGGTTCTGCTGTAGCTATAGTCACCAATAAGATTTCTTTAAGATTATCCAGCTTTTGTGTTATATTAGTTCGTTCAGTCCTGGGCAACTAAGGCACTGATAAGGTCGGCTTCAGCTAGATCTGACACATCTTCATTTAGTAAGAGTGGCTTACTTCTGATGCCTTATTTTTTCAAGGCCATATGTAGGGTACAGGAAACCTTACTGATTTATTGAAGTTTTGCAATGGGTACAAGGTCTAGCTGAGGCAAAGTTGAATAAGGAATTAATTGTGGAGATTAACCAAAGCTACTTCATGTTTAATTAGTATTTTGACTTTGTGTATTTACGTGCAGACTGCCCTGGCAGTTGGAACACGTACGAAGTACAAATAAATGTTATCTGTGTCTGTGTCTAGCAAATCGCTAACCAGAAGGTTTGTTATTTCCTCCTTGAGATGGAAAGTTACAATGAGGTCTATGTGTAAAATTTCAATAAAAGAGAGCTTACGAATCTACTCGAGGTTCTCACTCTTGCAGACAACCCTGTGTCTTGTATTT